TAACTTACTAGGGTTATAAGTAGATGTACAATAGTACTTAGAGGAGTTAAGCATGTTGCCTAAGTTCACACAGTTGGAAAATAAGGAAGCTATCAGGAACCTAGGGCCACCTGATTCCATAGTCTAGGCATTTTACCACAGCATATTAGAAAACTGTCTTTCCTTGTTTCTTCCAAAAAGAGAGGTAACAAAGTGAGATTTTCTACTCTGAACCTACATTTGACTAAATCTGAGGAATTGATTGGTAAAGTGGTAGAAATACCGGGAAAAGGCAACTATGTCATTCTGGTGTTTGGGTTGTCATGTTTATATTTTAGACTTTAACCAAAATCATAGAATCATCTATTTTAAAACCTACTTTAAATATATTTTTCTCTAAAAAGAAATAGAGCACACAAAAGTCTAATGATAAGCAGAAAAAACTGGAGAGGTCTCATTGATGAAGTACCTTTTGAGCTTAGTCTTTCAGGATAAGACAGGATTTGAACACATGGATGATGAGAGGATGGATAACATGAACAAAGGCTCAAAGGTAGGGAAATTTATATTTTGTATATTAATTTGGTTGGAGTATATGGTACATGAAGGGGAATAATGGAAGACAAGGTTGGGCCTTGAATACTAGGCTAAGGAATATGAACTTTATGGACAAACAACAGTAAGCCACAAAATATTTTCAAGTTGAGGAATAGCAGAATCAGAGCTGAATTTCAAAAAGATTAATTTGTTGGCAGTATGTAAATGGATTGGGAAGAGAAAACACTAAAGGCACTGAGACAAGTTAGGAGATTATTGCAATATTAACGGAAAGAGACAAAAGGGGCTTGAACTAGGATGTGATGATGAGAATGGAGATATGGAGATAAGACAAATGCAATAGGTACTGTCGGGACAGAACTGGCAGGGCTTAGTAGGTGATTGGGTACTGGCACACAGAAAAACGCGATGGGGGAATGCTTCATGGAGATTAATCTGATGCCAATGTGCGGGGCAAATTAGAAGAGGGAGAGACTGGAGATAGGGAAACTGGTGAGGAGTTTATTGAAGAAGTCTTGGTGAGAGCAAGCACTGGAAACAGGAAGGAAAGGACAGTTATAATTAATGTTATAAGAGGAAAATTGATGCAATTTAGTGATGAAGTAGGTGTAAAGGGTAAGATGGTGGAAAGTGACTGAGGTTTCAAGCCTGGGGGATTAGACAGTGATGGTGCCACTGTTAACAGAAAGACAGAAGTTCAAATAAGAAGTTGGCTGGAGGGTAAACATCACAATGAGAAACAGGGCAAGAAAGTTACACAGGGAGCTGACTTGAAATCAGAATTTAAAAGAACATATGAAAAAGATATAAAAATAAAAAACAAAGAATGGAGTTAAAGAAGTATAGCACACTTGTAAAAATAGGGTTAGAATGGTTAAAACTCTAAAGTCTTGTCATACTCATATTTGCTGTTGAATGAATGAGGGTTTTTGCTGCTTGGAGAAGATGTCATGTGAAAAGCAACAGGGAAAAGCTATTTAAGCCAGGCTCGGTGGCTCAGCCTGTAATCCCGTGCCTTTGGGAGGCTGAGGTAAGGGGATTGCCTGAGCCCGCAGGTTCGAGACCCGCCTGGGCAGCGAGACCTCATCTCTACGATAAATCAAAAAAATCAGCCGGGCGTGGTAGCACATGCCTGTAATTCCAGCTACTTGCAAGGCTGAGGCAGAAGGATCACCGGAGCCCAGCAGGTCGAGGCTGCGGTGGCCGGGAGCGGTCACTGCACTCCAGTCTGGGTGACAGAGTGAGACTGCAACTTAAAAAAAAAAAAGCTATTTAAACACTATTCTGCCTTTTTCCTTTCCAGAAGAGGAGAGTGGTCTTTATCTGGATGAGGTGGACCAAACACAGTAGAAAGAACAGTAAGGACCTGTTATGGGTACCCAGCCACTTTAAGTGAGTTCGTCTGGTGAAGTACAGAAGCATAGGGTGTAAGTAAAGGGAAACTTAGTCTCAGCGTTATAATCTGTATTCATCTGGCTATATCTAGAGTAGGGAATTTAGCAAAGAAGTTAAAATCATGGACTTTGTAGTCAACAGAACTAGGTTCAAATTCTGACTTGGTTACCTGGTAGCTGTGTAACCATTAGTAAGTCTTTTAGGCTCTAGTCTTTCCCATCTGCAAAAACAAGAACAATAATCCCCACTTGACAGAGTATTGTGAGGATTAAGTGAGGTAAAATATGCAAAACACTGGTTAAGTGACTACCACTTAGTAAGTGCTCTTAAAAATGAGTATCTATTAGTGATGAGTTGACCACATACTTGTATTTTTCCATGAGAGAGGAGTGATAAAGAAGAGGCCTCTTCATTCCTAGAACAATGGCTGGCACATAGTAGTAAGTATTTGTTGAATAAATAAATAAGTAAATACAAATTTTCAAACCCTAAGTTCAGTGGCAGGAAGACTATGATCTTGCATATGCAAGTTAGGATGGAAGGGAGTACTCTTTCTACCCTTGTTTTTAATGGCAACATAATATTTCACTGTTTCGCTGAATTATAGTTCCTATAATCTTTCACCGATTTATATTTAATCATTCTTCTATTTAGCACACTTAGGTTGTTTCCATTTTACCATTGTAAATAACACTGAGATGCTGGTACATCTATCTTTGCTCCTTTTCCTGATTTTTCTTGGACTACATTCCCAGCAAAAGTATTGAAGAGTTATTATTTTCCAGAAAATTTACACTCTTTCAAGCAGTGTATTATAAATGCCAATGTATGATTAAAATATCAAGTACTAAAAGAATGTCCTGAAGCCACTTGGGAGAAATTCCTCCTGAGTGATGTATCATCTCTGATTCTAAGGAACTGGGTGGAGTGAACAGTAAACTGAACTGTTGGGCACTAACAGTCATGATGGGTCTGTTGTTTCTGCTCTGCAAAGACAAGAGATGGGTGTTCTTCAGATAGGAAACAGGAACTCAGTGGGTGGACCTAAAAGGAATGTGGGGTTTGAAACAGGAAAAAAAGAAGTCTGCTTGTGATAGTGAAAGAGATGCATTGCTGTGCTGTCCTGATCACCCACATCCTTCTAGGCCAAACCTTTATTCTATATCTGTCCTTGGATTCTATTTACAGTGGTTTTATTTTGCTTTCTGTTACATTAGTTTCATGTGTGTGCTTTTTTATTTTTTCCATTTTAGAGAATGACATCCATCTAGTTGTTTGAGAAACCAAGCAGTTATTTGATACTTCCTCTTTCTCACTCCTTACAGTCAAACGCTTCACCAAGTTATGATTCTTTTATTTATTTAAAACAATTTTTACTTTATTTCTTCTTCTTCTTTTTCTTATTTTTTGAGTCAGGGTCTCATTTTGTCACTCAGGCTAGAGTACAGTGGCACAATACGGCTCACTGCAGCCTCAACCCACTGGGCTCAGGTAATCCTTCTGCCTCACCCTCCCGAGCACAAGTACTCACCACCACGGTTTCAGTCACCATGACTTTTCTGTCCTTGATTTTTCTCTCAGGTCTTTCCAGTCTTGGAGTCTTTGCACATGTCTTTCCTTGCACTGGAATACTCTTCCTCTACCCTTCACCAGGCTAATTTCCACTTATCTTGTGGGTCTCAGTTTAAATTCCATTGCCACAGAGAGGTTCTCTTATAGCAGCCTTTTCTTTTCCTTTAATAAGCTTCTCACAATGAAGAATGTATATATTTCTGTCTCTTCTATTACAGAGTAGTTTTCTTGAGGTCATAGGTAATGTCTATTATGTCACTACTTGAATATATAGCTGGGGGCTTAACACAATATCTGGCATTAGCCATAATGCCCATCACAGCGTTAGGAATGAAGTAGGTCTTAAAATACAAGGGGGTAGCCCCCCAAAATGAAAGTTATTTATAAAAAATTGTGAATTTATTCTTACATGTTTAAACTTCAGTCCCCATCAAAGTACTCTGAGGCAATATACCGATCGAGACACTTTTTCCATTGCTCAAAATAGTTTTTGAACTTATCAATTTTGATGCTTTTTTAGTGCTTCTGCTCTTTTCTGTTTACTTTTTTCATGTAGGCAAAACGTTTCCCTTTGAGGACTTTTTCATCCAGGGAAACAAAAAAACCACTCAAAGCAAGATTTGGTGAATAGGGAGGGTGGGGGCATGGGCTTCATGCTGTTTTGGGTCAAAAACTGCTGAACACTCAGTGTGGTGTGGGCAGGTTGTTCGTGTAAATCATCCATCATGAACTGGGCAGACACATTGAAAGAATCTTCAAAAAAAAAGCCGGGCTCGGTGGATCAGCCTGTAATCCCGCGCCTTTGGGAGGCTGAGGTGAGTGGA